GGGTGGGGTGGGCGCCTGCCTCACCCTTTTTCTTCTCAGGATGGTGGGCGAGATAGGACGGGCCGCGTCTTGTATGGCTATGGGAAGTGACAGTGACAAGGCCGAGGGCTGTGCTTCATTGCTGTCTTTACAATATGCCTCTGGCCATTTTGTTTGTTTTTGTTGTTGATAAGAGCTCTGCTCTGGGCTGTGGGCACGCTACCACCCAGCCCCTTGTGTATCTTTTTTTGTTTGTTGGTTTTTGCATGGTTGTTGTATTCTAGCGGAGTGGTCAGGAGCCCAGGTTGGGTAGTAGCATCCTTTTTGTAGAACCTGGCCTCTCACACTCAGTGACTCTTCTCGATTTAATTACAGTGAATGGGCAGTTTTTAAAGCCCTGGGCTTGGGGCCTTGTTCCATAGGTGGCGTGCTTATCTAGGGTTCATACAGCCTAAAATCCCCTTATTCTAGTTGTGGCAATGCATGCCTTGGGGGTAGGAGGGTTTAGCAGTTTGAGACCAACCAGGAGTGCTAGAGACCCTATCTCAGAACAAACAAACCTGAATTACTATGTAAGCAGTTTGGATGCCTTTTTGACACATCCTTGGGTGTCCGGGTTTCACTTGGTACCTCTGCCTGTAGCTTTTTCTGTGGGGGAATGAATAGTCACCCCTCTGCTCATTGGAGCTTGGACTACTGATACCTGGTTAAACAGAATAGTGGTTGGTGTTTGTTTGAAAGGTTTTATTTTGTAACTCAAGCTAGCTCCAGGCTCTAGATCCTCCTGCTTCACTTGGTCTTATCTCTTCCTCTATCCCCAGCCTCGGTCATAGTCTTGGTAGTGGTGGTGGTGGTGTTATTGGGGGGGGGTGGTTTGGTTCTGAGGGTGTTCTAAAGACAGAATGTCAGTATTTACCTTAGATTGACCTCCAATTCCTAGTCCCCCTGCCTCAGCCTCCCATAGATTAAATTACACATTTATGACTCCATGCCATGCCAGTACAGCAGCCTTATGAATCACCCAGATCTTTTTGTGTTGTTTACATTTCATGATATAACTTCAAGTAGTTTTAGTATCTTTATTTTTTTAATTATTTTTATCTTATGTGCATAAATATTTGCCTGCATATATGTCTGCACCACATGCAACCTGGTACCCACAGAAGCCAGGAGAGGGTGTTAGATCAGGGTTAGAGTTGCAGAGCTGCCACATGGGTACCAGGAACTGAACTTGGATCCTTTGGAAGAGTAGCCAGTTCTTTTAACCACTGAACCATCTCTCTAGCCCTGTTATGGAATTTTGTTATTGTTGTTGTTGGAGATTAAATCCAGAACCCTGATCACACTAGCTGCCCTGAGACACATCCCTAGTCCCGGAGAGGGGAAAGGAGGGAGAGGAGAGGAAAGAGAGATAAGCATGTTTGTGTGCAAGTTCACACGTGAAGCCAGAAGGGAACATTAGTTCCGCTCTGTCATTCCACCCTATTTTTCTGATACAGGGTCTCTCACTGAACCTGGAGCTAGGCTGGCAGCCAGCAATCCCCACTGATCCTGTTTCCACCTTCAACAGTCCTGGGAATGAATACAGGCTCATGTGGCTGTATTCAGTTTTTCACACGGGTGCTGAGATCTGACCTCAGGTCCTCAGGCTTACTCAGCAAGTATTCTTACCCATGGAAACATCTCTCTAGACCCTGTTTCTTTCTCTCTTTCTTGGCTATCCCTTCCTCTTTCTTCTTCTTCTTCTTCTTCTTCTTCTTCTTCTTCTTCTTCTTCTTCTTCTTCTTCTTCTTCTTCTTCTTTTTTGACCCTCAGGTGGCAAAAATCTGTTTTCTCAGCACCCACCTATTAAATAATACATTCCACCATTCCACCCTCACCTAACATGCTACCTTCAGGGCTGGGGGTACAGCTAAGTTAAGTTATTTCTGATTCGGTTCCACCTTGCTGTGTGCAATTGTCTGAGCTATAATTTCTAAAATCTCATTGCAGGTGAAAAAGAGTCTCAAATGGACATGCAAGGCTTGTGGAGAGAAGCAGTCCTTTGTGCGGGTGAGTTCTGATCAGCCTCAGTTTCTGCAGCCGGCATCCTTCTCTCACACTCACAGTTCAGCCCAGAGAGCTGCTACACCCTGGGTCCCTTCTCCCTGGAGCTGCAGTGGGTGGAGCAGTGCCTAGACAGGTTCTGCCCTTCACTTCTTTGCCCAGCAAGTGTTTCTTGAGTACTTTCTGTGTGCCAGGCACAGGGAGATAATAGGAATTAGGAACGTTGTCAGTGTTCCACTCACAGATGTGCTTTGTGGAAGGAGAAATAAATAATTCACATGCACACACACACATATACATTCATAATTTAAAACTAGATGAGCATCTTGAAAACACAAGGGTACGTAAGGGTTCAGGAGTGCCTGGAGAGATTTGTCAGTGGTTAAGAACACTTGCTGCTCTTGCAGAGAACCTAAATTTGTTTCCCAGCACCCACACCTGGCAGCTCACAGCCACCTGTAATCACAGAATGTCAAACCTACCTAGGGGTGAGCAGTAGTGTGTTGGTGGGGGCAGAGGTGACTCCGGCATGGGAGGGAACAGACTCAGAATGCAAGGCATACCTATGAATGTCCCTGTTTAATGCACTTTATTTTCGTGTGCCTCAAGCATATTTCTTCAAATCTCTACACACTGATGGACGTAAGTAATTTGATAGCACACGTTGCCCCAAGTCCTGTCCTTGCTTGGGTCTTTCACTTGCCTCTTCTTCCTAACACTGCATTCCCACCTCATCTCCCATCATCCTCTTCCTGAAGTCACAGTGACTTTCTTTCTGACCTTGAAACAAATCCTCTCCTCCTAGGACCCTGTGCTTATTGTTGGGGCTCAACTCTTAGTTTCCTGGTGGAAGCTAAATGTGGGTACCCAACCCACACTGAGAGTTCCAGAGGAGCAGAAGCTTTGCTTGTCTTATTTTCTGACGGGCCTTCAATGCCCAGTGCACTGCCCTGTCCACAGTGAGTGCTCAGCATGCGCATCTATTATGAGTAGATAGATAACCAGTCACACAATGATGGGCACTTTGATTGTTGTTGCCATTGTGGTTTACAGTTCTGCAATGAAGGTTTTCATTTACTTGTTCTTCAGTGCAGGGGTTGAACCCAGGCCTGTGCGTGCTAGAGAAGTACCCTGCCACCAGGCTCTGTCCCCAGCACCTGCAGTAAACTGTCTCTTTATTCACTTGACCAATTATATACTATTTTCTTAGGACAGAGTCCTAAATGTGAATTGCTGGTTTTTTTGTTGGTGGTGGTTTTTTGGGGGAGGGGGGGTGTTTGTTTTTCGAGACAGGGTTTCTCTGTATTGCTTTAGGGTCTGTCCTGAAACTCGCTCTGTAGACCAGGCTGGCCTCGAACTCACAGAGATCCACTTGCCTCTGCCTCCCGAGTGCTGGGATTAAAGGCATGTGCCACCAATGCCCATCATGAATTGCTGTTTTGATGGTTGTCTTTCCAGGAAGATTCATTTAGTTGAAGTGACAGGCAAAAACACTTTGAGAGCTGAGAATGTAAATCATTCAGGTAAATCACTTGCTCGTGTAGAATGCATGAGGCTTTGGGATCGATCTCCAGCATGTTGTAAAACTGGATGTGATGGTGTGCACACCTGTAATCCCAGCATGTAGAAGGTAGTAGAGACGGGAGGGTTAAGAGTTCAGAATCAAGGGGCTGTATTTGCTCTCTGCAATTGAGAGCACTTGCTGCTCTTAGAACCTGGGTTTGGTTCCCAGCACCCACATGGTGGATCAAAACCATCAATAACTACAGTCCCAGGAGATCCAATGTCTTCTGACCTCCAAGAGCACTAGACAGGCAAGTGGAGTATAGACACACATGCAGGGAAAACAATCACACATAAAATGAATTGTATCAAGATTTCTTTTGGGCTACCAACCAGCTCACAAATAGTGACATGGAGAATTATTAGTTATGAATGCTCAGCCTTATTTTATACTTGTCCCACTACCTCTTATAACTTAATTTAACCTGTTTCTCTTCATCTATGTTTTGCCTCAGGGCTTTTTACCTTTCTTTCATTCTGTATGTGTCTTACTCCATGTCTGTCTGTCTGGCAGCTGCCTGGCTGGCCCCAAGCATCTCCCTCTCTTTCTCCCATGTTCTCTTCTCTCGTTCTCCTCTCTTGAGCATAGCATCCTATCTCTGCCCACCAGCCCCACCTATCCCTCTACTCCTAGCTATTGGTCTTTTAGCTTTTGGTTAGACCAATCAGGCACCTTAGGCAGGCAAGCTAAAACAACAACATCTCTTTACATAATTAAATAAATGCAGCATAAACAAATGTAATACATCTTTATATCGTTAAAATGATATTCCATAATAATGAATACATTTAATTTTAAAAAAAAAGTTGAAGATCATCCCCAGATACATCCCCAAGTTAGCCTAGGCTACATGAGACCTTGTCTCTTTTTTTTCAAGACAGGGTTTCTCTTTGTAGCCCTTGGCTGTCCTGGAACTTGCTCAGTAAACCAGGCTGGCAAACTCACAGAGATCTGCCTGTCCCTGCCTCTGCACCACCACCTCCAGGACGAGACCTTGTCTTAATAAAAGGAAAAAAAGAGCCAGGTACATCGGTGCACACCTTTAATTCCAGCACTTGGGAGGCAGAGGCAGGTGGATCTCTGTGAGTTCGAGGCCAGCCTGGTCTACAGAGTGAGTACCAGGACAGGCTTCAAAGCAATACACAGAAACCCTGTCTCAAAAAAAACAACAAGCAAACAAACAAAATAAGACCTTCCATCTTCCATTGATGTTCACTGTTATCACAAAAAAAAAAAAAAAAAAAAAAGCCTGGCATCTCATGTCCCCTGCCTGCCTCTCCCCATCTCTTGGGGTTTCTTTAAGCTTTTCCTGTTTCTTCCCTTCAGCACATAGAATTAATACCTTCAGAGAATCCACAGAACCACATCCTCAGCCTGCTGGACTAGCCATTTCCAATCCTGGAGTCCTGGGAGAAGTAATGTGATTGACACATTCCCATTTCTGGGCCAGTCATCTGAGATTCAGCACCCAAGATAGGGGCTGCCTCAGCTGGGTCCAAAGGAGCACCTCTTGTAGGACTGTTACTGCATGCTTAAGTTCTCCAAGAAGGCAGGCTTCACCTGCTGTGTGGGTGCAGTGGGCTTGCTTACTGTTGCCAAAGGGAGTCATTTCTGTCCCTCTGGAGAGGACACTGCAGGAGCTGATGGGGGATGGGAGTGAAGCTGACATTCTGTTATTCCCTAAGGCTTATCTGCAGCTGCCTCCAGCCAAAGGGGCAAGAGCATGGGGAGCTCCCAGGAGACTTCTAGGGCCAGGCTCAGAAGTAGCTGACATTGCAATGGCAAGAGCTACTGTTAAACCTCACATACTGGAGACAGTCTGGAGAATAAAATCTAGTTTTATGTCTCCATAGAGAGGATGGTTCCTCACTGCGGTGGAGCACTTACCCGTCTGTTACATCAGATGCAGGGTATCAGTTGTTTTTAATCCTGCCAGCCCCCTGTGCCCAGCTCCTCTCTACTTATCCTCACTTGAACATGCTACAGACAGAAAGAACCATGTTCCCTACTAGACCGTGACTCATGTGGCCAGTCAGTGGCCTCCATGTTGCTAAGCCGGTTAGATCACAACCCTCCTACGACAATTTTCTGGCAGCATTTGTCATGGGTTGTAGCTTCCACCTCCTTAAAACATTCCCTCTTGGCCTTCCAGTTGGTCTGCTCCTAGCTTCCTGGCAGCTGGTTCAGTCTGATTGTTGGTTTCCCTATCTCCCCGGCTTCCAGACACTGAAGTACACTGGACTGCAAGCTTTCGGCCTGGGCTCTAGCTGCACTCCCTTGGGGAGAGATTGCACACAAGGCACAGGATCCAGCTCAGGGGTAGAGCCTGGCATGTAGTCAGTTATCCTACAGATCCCAGGCCTGTCCCCAAGCTCCTGAGCACTGCCCACCCCATCTCTCTCCCCAGCACCGCAAATTTGAAAAAATGGGAACTCTGACCTCATGAACTGCTGTCTCCACTGTCATCTCCCCTCTTCAGTGTCAGGATTCTCTTTCTCATCTGGCCTAAAAACTCCACCATCATCCTTGACTCCTGCTTTTCTTACATTCTCTTCAGCAGCAGGGTTTGCCCACTTTGCCTTCCAGTCAGATCCAGATTGGCCTCATCTAACTGCAGGGTCTGAGCCGGCCTCCTCCTGGCCATGCTATTAGCAGTAGCTTTGTAACTCCTGCCTATTTCTGTCATCAGGTCTCTTCCCAAACAAGGGGATCCTCTGAAAACATTCTGTGTTAAACAGAGCATTGCAACACTGGGGGGTTGGGGGGGGGCAGCAAGAATTCAAGGTCACCCTCAGCAGGAGGAGGTTGAAGCCAGCCTAGAACACCTGAGTGTTTCAAAAAAGAAAAAGAAACAAAGAAAAGGTGCTGGGTTGTACCCTTGCTCTGCTCAGAACCCCCCAGGTGGCCTGAGTTCCTTTTCTGTGAGAGGGAGGGAGGGCAGACTGAAACTATGGAGTTTCCTATTCATATCTCAGGGGAAAGAACCAGTGAGGCAGAAACTTTATGGTTTTTACTTCCTGAGGGAAGAGATTGCTGGGAAATGAACCCAAGGTGTTGCACATGCTACACACGTTTTACCCCTGAACTAGGCATTCAGCCTTAAGCCTTCTTTTTAAGTTTAATGTTTTTCCTTCCCAAGGCAACAATTCAAATCAGGAGCATGAATTTTTCTGTTTGCCTTTATATTGTGCAGTGTCAGTTTGAAACACAAATAAGAACACTTAGTACACATCATCAGAATTACACAAGTCATCATTCACAGCTCATCTGAACAGCAGACAGGCTGAACAGATTAAACTCAGCCATTTGGGTTTTTTAGTTTGGTTTTGTTTGAGACAGTCAGTCCTGCTCTGTAGTCCAGGCTACACGAAGACCTGCCGTAGTCCTCCTGTCTCTGCCTTTGGAGTGGTGGGGTTAGAATCATGGGCTGCAGTGCCCTGCTTCACTCTCAGCTGTTTTTACCTCACCTCTTTTGTTCCTGGTCCAGACAGAAATCCTTACTTCCCCGGGTTACAGCACCACCCACCTTGCAGTGTGGACATCATACACGGAGTACACTTGCCCCAGTGAGCTCCCACATACAAAGAGTCTTAGGAATTCCGTGGTGGCCAGCATGTACTAAGAACTCCCTCTGCAGATATGGTGGCAGGGGACAGTGGCATTTAGCACATATCTCCTCTGTTCACAAACATGTCCCCTTGTCCTGTTGGATTTCTCCTGTAAACCACAAGTTCCACACTCAAATCTCAGCCATCCCTCAGTATCCATGAAGGCCCTTCTATAGTCAGGTGTGACCTCTGCATGTCCTGCCACATGCTCTCTTGAGGGGTGAGGGATGGGATAATTATAGTGCCCAGGCGATCTTGAACTCCCGTGCTCAAGTGGTCTCCTGCCTCAGCTTCCCGGGTAAC